CCATGCTGGCCGGGGGGCGGCGCGGCCCGGCCGGGGGCACCGCAGCAGCCGCCGGCCCGGCAGGGCGGGGGCCGCGGGCAGGGGAAGAACTCCCCGGGGCCCGGCAGCAGCAGCTGCTGCCTTCTCCTGCTCTTCCTCCTCCTCTTCCTCCGGCGGAGGCTCTTGCAGGAGGTGCAGAGAGCCTCCAGGTCCGCCTTGGAGATGAGCGAGCACTTCACGGCGCGCGTGGGCACCGAGTTGATGGCCTTGAGCGTCCGCAGCTCGGCCAGGTCGCAGCGGCGGCTCTTGATCTTTAAGGTTTCCATCTTCTTGCTGATGGTGGTCCTGGGGATGTCCTTGAACAGGTCGCTGAGCACCTGGGCCAGCGCGAACATCTGGGTGCCGTTGATCTGTAAGTAGCCCAAGCTGATCCCTTCGATCCGTTGGTAGCCGGCGTGGAAAGCGCCCGGCCGGGCTGGCGCGCTGCGCTCCGCGGCCGCCGGAGCCATCCCCAGGGCCCCCTCGCAGGTCAGGAACATTTTTGCGAGTTGTGGGGCTGTTTTTTTTGTTGTTTTGTTGTTGCTTTTTTTTTTTTTTTTTTTTTTCACTTTGTCCCTTTCAAAGAAGGGCAGGGGAAATCAGGAAAATCAGGACATTTGTGGTTCCACTCGCTGATCACACACATCCCTCCGGAGAGGGGCCAGAGGGGGAGGGGAGGTGAAAAAAAAAAAGAAAAAAAACGAGGAAAAGAGGGGGAAAAAAAAGCAAAAATGAAACCCCAAAAAGCCGATCTCGCTTTCAAACGCTCCGGTCGAGGCTTGGCGACATCTTCCGAACACCCAATTCCTGCTCCGGGGCTCGGCTCCTCGTCCGCCCCCTCCCCGGCAAGGAAAAAAAGAGAAAAAAAATCAAGAAGTCAAACATCTCTCATCGCCCGGGCCGGCCCCGCACCCACCTCCGCCTCCCAAATAATCCCTTTTTTTGGGGGGGATCGGTGTAAATCAACCGAGCGCTGGAGCGGACAAAGCTCGGGGGGCGCGGGGGGGCCCCGCATTCCCTCCGGGGACACCCCCGGGAACGCCCCCGGCTCCACCGGGTGTCCCCAAACCCCGAATTTCCCCCGCGCCCCCTCCCCAAACCCCCCCACACCATGGGGACCCCCCCGCGCGGCTTTTCTCCCCTCGAAAAACCCCAAATTAAAACCCCAAATCACCGAGGTTCCGAGGCGGCGGCAGCGCGGGCGCCTCCGCTTTGTTTCCGCGGTTTAAATGGATTTTTCGATGGTTTTTTGGGTTGGTTGAAGAGGTCGCTGCGCCTTCCCAAATGTGGATTCCTCTGGGATGGGTGTGTGGAGGAATATTTTTAATAAAGCGTGAAAAATTTTCCTTCTAGGCGGCTTGTTCGAAGTCATCGCCTCGGCCACAATTCATCCGGCAGCTTATTAATTAATTCCTAATTAATTGTATTTATTAGCTGGCGTCCACAGTAACAGCGGTGGAGAAAAAGAGAGTTATGAGAGAGTTGTATTTTTTTTTTTCAGTTCTAATTCTTTGTTAAAAGGCAAAAAAAAAAAAAGTAAAAAGAAAAAAAGGAAATAAAAAGGGGACAAAAACAGGGAAAAAAAATTAAAAAAAGGGAAAGAAAAAAGAAAATAAAAAATGAAAAATTAAAAAAAAAAGGAAAAAGAAAAATAAAGGAAGAGAAAAAAAGAAAATAAAATAGGAAAAAAAAAATGCGGAAAATACCTCTCCAAAAAAGGAAAAAAAAGAAGAAAAAATAAAAATAGGGAGGGGGAAAGAAATTTTTTAAAAAAAGGGAAATAATAGAGGGCGGAAAAGGAAATTCTCTCGCACGCCTCGGAGCTGCTAAACTTTATTTCCAACTTTAAATCCCAAGGTTCCTTCGGTGTTTAGCAACTCTCCAGCGGTGCTTTCCCAAAAAAAAAACCCAAAAAAACCAAACAAACAAAAAAAAACCAAATAAAAAACCACCAAAAAAAACCCCGAAACGAAAAGAAACCCAAACAAAAAACCCTACAACAGCCCCAGGCTGCAGATTCCTCTTTGCAAAAGGGGTGGAAAAGGGGAAAAAAATCATAAAAAATTCCAATTTTAAGAGCTGGGCTCCATTGTGGCGGGTCCCTCTGAACCTGAGGCCGCTGGAGCGGGGTCTGAGCTCCTGCTCAGGAGGCGAATTTTGGGGAAACTGTTCCCAGGGAAACCTTCCTGGGGGCAGGGAAGCGGCGGCTCCGCTCCCTCCCCAGCCCCTTTTTTGTCTCCGGCTTGAAAAGTTGGGTTGGTTCGTCTTCTTCTGGGTTTTTGTGGGGTTTTTTTGGGGTTGTTCGGGGTTTTTTTTTAAATTTTCATCTGAAATTTGATGATAATGATTTGTTGGAGCACGGGAGATCCCAAATTAGCAACGATCCCAGAGGAGGAGGAGGAGGAGGAGGAAAAGAGGAGGAGGAGGAAAAGAGGAGGAGGAAGCGCATTCCTGAGCGAGCGTGTAAAACAAGAAAAAAATGTAAAAAAAATTTAAAATAACTCCGGTTCGCCAGCGGAGATCACCTGATCGCTTTTCCCGCTGATCCCAAAGGGATCCCTGCGGGATCTCCCCCTTTTCCAGCACCCATGGGTGCTCCTCTGCTCCAAAAAAATCCCAATTTTCCAGCCAGATCCCCCACATCCCCCCCCCGGTTTCACACAGGAGAGAATTTCCTGAAGGGAATTTTTCCAACAAAAAACCCCAAACCCCTCTTTGTTCGGGAAAAGGGGTTTGGGGACCACCAAAATGAAAAATTCCCGAAATTTTCAGCGGCGCTGGAGCTTTTCTGGGAACCCTGGGGTTAAATTCCCTTTTCCACACCGAGCCAGAGCCATTTTACCTTTGGGCTGAGCTCGGCCGGGAGGGAGGAGCGGCGCGGGGAGGAAAATTCGGGAATTCTGCCCCTCCCAGGGGATCCCGAAAGGCTCCGGGGAAACCCCAAATCCCCGGGAATTCTCCCCAAACTCCCGAGGGGGAACCGGGGGGAGCAGCCGGAGCCCCCCGGGCGGAAGGGGGCTGGGGGACGAGTGGAGACGTCATTTCCCAGGAAATCTGGCAGCGCCAGGAGGGGATTTTTTGGGAAAAGGGCGAAATTCCACTCGGGATTCCACGTGGGGTGTGTCTGCAGGGACGCGGTTCGGGCCATGGAAATGCTCTCTATTTATAAATATATTTATTTTTAATTGATGTATTCTATTTATGCAGCAGTGGGCAGGGCACAGGCGGGAGCTGCTTCCCGAATAAACTCATTTTAATCCCAAATAAACTCGTTTTAATCCCAAATAAACTCGGTTTCATCCCAAATAAACTCGGTTTCATCCCAAATAAACTCGTTTTTATCCCAAATAAACTGTTTTTTATCCCAAACAAACTCATTTTGTCTCAAATTCCTGGCGCTCCTGCCCCAGGTCCCCTCCGTGTCCCCTTCACCTCCCGTTATCAATGCACGGCTCACTCTTGGCTGGGTTTTTTTACTCTTTTAGGGTTTTTTACTCTTTTAGGGTTTTTTTACTCATTTAGGGTTTTTTAGGCCTGGAGATGGGAGCAGCCAAGGATTGGGATGTTCCAGGGTCCCACCGAGGGATCCCTGGGGAGGATTTTTTTTGGGAATGAACTCGGCCAGAAAACCTGGAAGTGTCTGTATTGGAATATCCCAAAATATGAATATGGGAATATCTGAATATCCCAATATCTGAATATCCCAATATCCCAATATTGGAATATAGGATTATCCAAATATCCTGATATCCCAATATTCAAATATACCAATATCCAAATGTTTGAATATCTGAATATTTAAAAATCTGAATATGCAAATATCCAAATGTTTGGATATCTGAATATTGGAATATCCCAATATCCAAATATTGGGATATCCAAGTATTTGTGCTTATTAATGCATTTAATTGTGTATTTATTGGTGTGTGCATCTGGGTATTTCTGCACTTCTGCATTTGCATATTTGTTTATATATTTATATATCTAGAAGTTTATATATCCGTATATTAATTTGGTGTGATTTTTTAAAATTTATTTTAATATTTTATATTTATGTGTTTATATGTAATTTATTTTACAGGTACATTTATGCTTTTGTACATGAATTAATTTATATACATATATTTATTTATTTTTATGTATTTTGAGGCATTTCTGTATTCCCACATTCCCACCCCCGCCCAATCCCTTGGGGAATCCCCAACCCTCCCAGGCCACAGGAAAACTCCTGAAATATTCCCGGGACAATCCTCACCTGGGAAATTCCCCCCTCGGCCATCTGGATCCAGGGAAAGAGGAAATTCATGGAGATCGCCCCAAATCCGGGGGTGCCGGGGGTGCAGGATTCCCTTCCCACCCCAGAGGGGGGAATGGGGGATTGGGACAAAAAAGGGGGAGAATTCCCAGGAGGGACAATTCCCAAAAAATCATTCCAGGGATGCAGGAACACGAGGAGGAGGAGGAGGAGGAGGAGGAGGAGGAGGAAGATCTGGGAGTTCTGCAGGATTTGGGATGGGATGGGATCCATGGGATGGGATGGGATCCATGGGATGGGATCCATGGGATGGGATGGGATGGGATGGGATCCATGGGGTGGGATGGGCAGATCATCTCCACTCCCCCTTCTGCACATCCCGCAGGCTCAGCTGGGAATTCCCACAGGATTTTCCCTCCTTTCTTGCTGGGCCTGGTGCCAGGACACCAAACCGGGAATGAATCCCAAAAAGATTTAGGGAGAAGAAACTTCAGGGCTGCATGGGGATGAGAATTTGCTTTGACCCCACAAATGCCCCAAATCCACCATTCCCACCAGGAGCAGGGAAAGCAGGATCCCTGTGGAAAACGGGAATCAGCCCCAAAACATGGAAAAGCCAAGGAGGGGATTTCCAGAAGCAGCAGAAATCCTGGAGGATGCGAGAATTTGCCAGGAAAACCCCCAAAAATGGGATTAGAAATGAATTAATCCCATCCCACATGAATTATTCCCATTGCAGGGAATGGTTTTATCCATGCTCTTTCCTCTTGAGAAGCAAAAAAATTATCTAAAAAAAAAAAAAAAAGGGGGTAAAATAAAAAGTTTTGGGATAAAATAAAAATATTTGGGATAAATTTAAAAATAAATATAAAGCCCCCCTTGAAATGTTCTGAAACAGCAGCAAATTTGGGGTTACCAAACCCTAAAAGGGTGGGAAAATCCCATTTCTTGTGTTTTTTTTTACCTTTTCCCAAGTATTTCCGGTCACTGAGGAGTTCGTTGGGGATGTGAATGGATTCTCCCGAATTCCCGGGATTTTCCAGGGGATTGAGAGGGAGCAGCTGCTCGGTGACCCGCGGTGACCCCGCTGACCCCAAAGCGACCCCGGCCCCACCCCGGAGCGCTCAGAAATGCAAAGTTGGAGTTTTCGGGAATTTGGGAAGAGCGGGAAGAGCGGGAAGGGAGGGGGGAGGGGTTTTGTTGTCCAAAATGGGGTTTTTGGGGATAAAAAAGGGGAAATCCCATTTGGAGAGACTGGGCCCTAAAAGGATCATGGCTTCCCTTGGGATGG